AACGACTAAGCCACCCAGGCGCCCCCGTTCTGGAAATTCTTACCCATTTAGTTTTAGGATTTTAAAGATATTAAATACCTACCTGTATTTGTCCTAAAAGTCCTTTTTGTGAATCTCCTTGAAGATGACACTCATTTTGCAAGAGAGTAAGAACAATTATAGATGACCAAAAATCAGAATAGACATGGTCAAAGATCTGATGAGATGAGAGTTTACAATATAGCTGGCAAGGAAATCAGGTTATTTCTGTGACACATAACACTTCAATAGCCAGAATATCGAGTGATGGTGCTTATATTAAAACATTAAAACTTGGGGCACCTGGGTGGCTCAGTCGTTAGGTGTCCGCCTTCGACTCAGGTCATAATCCCGGGGTCTTGGGATCAAGCACCGCATCGGGTTCCCTGCTCAGAGGGAAGCCTTCTTCTCCCTCTCCCACTCCCCCTGCTTGTGTTCCCTCTCTCGCTGTGTCTCTCTGTCAAATAAATAAATAAAATCTTTAAAAAAAAAACCACTAAAACTTAGGAATTGCATATAGCCTCTAGAATAGTTATAGCATTTACCCAAATGTTACCTAAGGCTTATCATTTGTTTTAACAGTACTTCTGGAGTGACTTAGCATACCAAATAAAAGGCCTAATGAGTTAGAGAGACTTCATTTACAATTTAAATCTTGGGAAGTTTGTTAAAACCTTAGAAAGTTATATAGCACATGCTTGAATAGGATTACAGATCATTACAAAACAATTATTTTTATTAACCAAGGTGACAATAAGAGATTTGAAAGGCAAATAAATATGTAGGGTTCTATAGTTGTTAGCAAAACTTAGCTCCTTTAATATTGAGAAGTTTTAACCAAGTGATTGAAGACCTGATGACGAAACATATAGAAACTGGTTTTCTGGACAGACAAGAACAAAAACCTTTGTTTACATTTTCTTACCCAGAGCAGATGAACAATTCAAGAAACCTTGTCTTTTGAACAGAAGAGAATTTCAGTCTTACACCAGTGTACCTTTAAAATAAAAATAAATAAATAAAAATAAAAATCCATTCATTTCAATCTTAGTCCATCCTGACCACACCTAAAATTCCTTTCCAAAGATTTCCCATCATTCTTAATTACATTTAGCAGAATTTTGCACTCTTAGAAACCTTAGTCTCCAGTGAAGACTAAGTAGAACCAATTGTGAACTGTTACACCAGAATTCTTTTAGACGGCAAATTTGTGAATAAGTTAAGCACAAGCATGTTTACCAACAGATTTAAGTATCTTTAGTTTCTTTGCAATAAGAAGTGAAAAGGCACAATCCCCGTGTCCAGTAATCAGTGATTTAGCATTTTATCCTATTTGGAAAAGTCCTAGATGTCCAACGAATTAATCCCATTTATTCAAGCAAACTTTAAAGTATCAGGTTACCCAAGACTTTGAAAGCTATCTTAACTTCTATGAAAACTTTGTTGAGACAGACAGTTAACCATCATTTTAGTCATCTTTTTGCTAACAACTTGCAACAGAAATAACGAGCTTGTTTGACCTTCAGTAAGTCTCTATAGAATAAGTTTCACATTTAGTGCTGTTAAGTTTAAAGACATGTCTATCTTAATTAAACCAACAAACTTAACTTAGTTTAAATACTGAATTATGTTCCACCTGGATCCTCCTCATTGTTAATTTTTACCTGAGACACTGGTGGTTGGTGTTAGGTCCAGGGGTGCTCTTCATGCTCTTTGACAGTGAAGGGAGAAGGAGCCCTGGTGCCTGAGGTACCCAGGATGGTACGGAAGCCAGTCACGCAGGCCGCCCCCAAGGTGGTGCGGAAACAGAAGGGGGAGGGGGAGACAGAAGAGGCAAAGTGCTGCCAGAAGGCGGAGAAAGAGCTCCCAGTTTTAGAGCTCATCAGCTCCAATAGAGGCGCAGATGCCATGTTTTCCCCGCCAACGAGGGGGGAGGGGTTAGGCAGTCCATGTCGGGCCAGAGAAGATGGGATTTCCCCGAAACAAAGGGAGTTTTGGCAGCTGCTAGGGAATATTCCTTAAAGCCCCCCTGCGGAAGGAGACTAACCACATTTGGCTCCAGTTACAGCCATTAACCCGGGAAGCGAGTGAGGGAGAAGCCCCCACATCTATTAGGAGGAACAGAGAGAAAGAGAGCCAGAGTCCCCTTTGCTAGGAATGGCCTGTGTTTCCTCCGGCAACCAGGGTTTGGTCGGAGGAGGCCTATTTAGATAATTATCATCCAATATGTCACGAGCAGGTTTACTAGCGGACACATCGGGCAATCACATTCTGCAAAAGGCCCTTAGGTCGGGGTCCTGGTGTAGAACAATGAAGGCCTAGGTGCGAGCAGTGAAGTTACCCTAGGTCCATTTGCCCTATTTCCTACAGAGATCTAACAGATAGATCCCACAGAGGCCATGCAGTGTTACAGGAGCTTAGTCCTTTCCTGAGTTTTGTAATCCAAATTGTTTCTAGTGGGTTAAAAGGCACCCCAAGGGAGAGTCCTTGGGAACCAAAGAAGCCTGCTAAGGCCATGCTCCCAGAAAAGTAAAGAAGGTCCATTACCAAAATCCGTCCCCCCCGACTCCTGGGTGGCATCCCGCACAGGGTATGTCAGAGGTTCCAGGTGTCAAAAGTGACCGGAGGTGTCCCTTAACAAAAATCGCTATTGATCACCATCCTGCCTTCCTGTGAAGGCATTCCTGTTGTAAAAGGCCCCGTGTGAGGGATGCCGGCGTCCCTCCCCTTCCCCATCGCATCCTAGGCTGCCGATGGGTGCCTGGTGAATGGACTAAGATACTGTGTCGCCCGATACCCTGAAAGTTATGTTACTGCCCTGCCATTTTTAACCCATGGAAAATGCTAGAAAAGTTTTAGTAGAGGAACACTGACAGAAAACAGTAAAGATTGAAATCCAGCATGGTCTAAGTGACATTCCAACACATGTAGTCTTTACGGCCAACTTCCCTAGGAAGCAGTCCCCGGTTGGGTTTTAGTTCAGTCGGGTACTGGTTTCAGCCGGCTCCCAGTGGAGGTCCCCCGTGGCCAGAAGTGGCTAGACCAGGGATGTGAAGGGGATCACATTAGATCAATCAGGAGGAAACCTCACAAGGGAGTCTTAAGATTGGCAGCCGTCCTGGTGACTTAGGTGGCTGTCCCATGCCCAAGACAGACAACTTTCTATAAGGACAGGAATAAGGAGAAGGCATCGAGTTTCTGGATCTTATTACCATCCCGGCCAGGTACCAACTTCCAGCCAAAAGGCAGGCTTTTTCCTCCCCGTAGAGTAGCCACGGCTAGAGGATTGCAGCCTGAGCAATGGGCATGAAAGTGTTCCAGTAAGACCGTACTCCTTGAAGAGCCCCGGAAATGAGAGTAAAGGAAGAGAGAAAGTACTCACCAGTTTTGCACCGAAGGTCAGAGTCCAGATGGAAAGACTCAAAGCCCTACGTTTGGGCACCATATGATGAAGTTTTAGAATATTAGTGAGGTTCAGTGGGGTGGAGTCCAGAGCTGACGACTAAGAAAGAATCCTTGAGACGTCTTTGGTGCAAAATGGTGGTTTACTAAAGCACAGGACAGGACCCGTGGGCAGAAAGAGCTACTGCCCCAGGGTTGTGAGGGGTGGCTGATTATGAACGAGGGGTTGGGAAGGGTAAGGAAAAGGGAAAGGATTTTTGTATGTTAAAGAAGACTCACAGGATACGGGAGGCCTCGCCATTGCCAAGTTAAGGTTGTTTACCCCTCTAGTAAGGCATTAACATTAAGATAGTTGGGAACTTCCCAGAAGAATGTCACACAAGTCCCACCCAGGAGTGGGGGTTGGGGGGAGGTTGCAGGGTGTTGGCTTGCTTTGTCTTCAGCCAGCCTTCTGTTCCCTCGTCACTTGCCCTTCTGGTGACTTCCCCTGCAGCACTTCTCTGAGCCTTAGTTTCCGCTGTAAAGGTGGGGACTGGGCAGATGTATGTCATAGGTGCTGCAAGAAGTGAACCAAAGCACATAAAAGGAAGAAGACAGGAACTGACATTCTCTTTTGACTGTATCCGAGAATGAAAGAGGAACTTCACTTTGCAAGTTGACTCTTAGGACCAAAGGGCCTTTTTTATAATACAGTTTTGGAATGTTTCTTTCTTCCTTCTGAAAGGGCTTTTGTAGGTGTGGTGGGCAGGACACAAAGGAGTAGTCACAGAGTGCAGGTAAAATGTGCCATTTTCGGGCCACAGGATTCAAGGGTTAAAGTTGGTTGACTTCGGTGGAATTTTTTTAGAGTAGCAGGATCCCAGAGGCTGGGCTCCAGGTAAGGCTCCCTGGGGAAACTAATCCTAAACCATTGACCGACTTGGAAACTGAAAAAGCAGGGCTCTTTCTGCATTACTTAGGCCCTTTGGAATTGCTAATGAATATGTGTCAAAATGACCCTTATAATCTGGCTTCCGCGTCTGGCCGGTGGAACTGGTCTGTTGGGTTCAGAATCTGGTTTGGACCAGTGGTAAATTCCTGGCTGCGAACCAGATGTAGACCTGCTTTGTTAAACTGGTGTCTGCTCAGCGCGGGCCTTCACCATCCCACAGCAGCGGGGAGATTATGCGCCTTGCTAAGTGTGAAACTTATGGTGAAGCATTGTGTTTTTCAGAAGTTCTTCTGAGACATTTGCTTTCCTGACAGTGCTGTGAGGTAGATGCTTGACTTTTATTCCCATTTTGCAGCTGAGACAGCTGAGACAGAGATAAAATGAATTGCCCAGGGTTTCCCATGCTGGTGGAGTCAGTAGTGGAATTTGTTCCTTCTAACGCGGGTTCCCATACTCTTTCCTACCCTGTGCGAAGGAGGTGGGAGGTGTCCTTGACTCAGGAAGCCCTGTCTAGGAGCCCCTGCTCTGGTCAGAAGTTATTTTTTTAAAATTTTAATATAATTTTAAAAATTTGTTCAAATCAGTTCAGTATGAATGAGTATTCACTATACTCACAACACAGTGTTAGACTCTTTGGGGTATTGGAGATGAGTGAAACAGTCCTGACTTTCGGGGAGCTGACCCCCTAACAACCAGATCTAATACAAAGCGAAATGCAACAGGGGCCATAACAGAGGGACAAACTCCCAAGTTTTTTGAGCACTAAGGAAGGGAATTAGGAATATCTTCACAGGGACTTTGGCATTTGAGCCAAGATGTGAAGGATGAGTGAATAGAACTTTAAAAAGAAGTGTCAGGGTGTTCATTTTTGACAGAATGGGGACCAGAGTTGGGAATAATTGGGCATGTTATGGGAACATGGGATTCAGTGTGACCAGAGTACAGTACAGGACTGAGGTTCTCAAACTGCCAAGTGTCTAAAAACCCACAGGTCTGGAATGGCATCCAGGAGGGGCACCTACGGAGTGGAGACGTGGGATCAGAGGTTTCTTGTGGAGGTACCTTGGAAGCTGAGGTCTTACAGCTGAAGGGGCAGGAGAGAGGAGTCATGTTCTAGGCTTGAGGGAACAGCCCTTTTGAAAGGCACTTGATGTGTGGGATTTGCAGGCTATAATCCTGGTAACTGTTGTTACCTTTCTCAAACGTGTTTTGATCTGGTGCCTCCCTCCGCTGCTTCCATGTGCTTCTGCATTAGTCAGGAGTCTTGGCAGTAAGCAGCGGAAACTGCCTCTGGCTAGCCTGAACAAAAGAGTTTATTGCAAGGACAGTGGCACACAGACTGACCAGAAAAGCTGCAGAGCCAAACTTGGCAAATGGGCCAGAACCAAGGGAGGCTCAGCAGCAGAGCTCAGCTAAGGATAGCCCAGGGGCAACTGGGTGAGGACCCCACTGCCTTCCTGGGTCACTTCCGCAAGAGCCACGCTCCTGGTTGGGGGTCTGCATGAATCTGGGCTGACAGACAGGAAACCTTACCTCCCACTGAGACCATCCAGTGGGGGTTCTCCACAAGGAATATCGGTGTCAGTGGGAGGCTCGGTCAGATGTTGGACAAACAACAAAAGTGGCAAATGTCCACTACATTTTCTGTGCCTCTCCTTGCCTCCGAAATAAGAGCCAAATGCTTAGGGTGCCATTAAGGCCTTTCACAACTTAATTATAAGCAGCTCCATCTCTCTACTCTGTTCCATGCTCTCTCCATTTCAGCTGCTTGCAGGGCATTTCCTGGTGCTGTGGTTTTGTTTAGCCTGTTTCCTTTGCCTGCAATAACCTTCCTTCTCTCTGACTCCTAAAACTCTTCATCCACTGCCATCCAGCATGGATCAGTCCTGTCTCCACTCCCTGACGGCCCTTTCTTTGGGAGGCACTTGGCTATTCTTGCCCTTATCACAGTGGGTGGGAGTTGCTTGGCTTTCTCTGTCTCCCCTGTGAGATGGGGAGGGGGAGGGGAGCCAGTCCTTTGGAGTCCTGGAGCACTAGGCTGGGTTCCCCTGCTAGGTGCTCAGCATCCTCCAGCTCCCAACACCATAACACACAGTATATGCAGGTGCTGGGTGGGTGTTGGTAGCACTACTTAAAAACTTTCTTTGCAAGTATTTGTTTTGTCCTTAGTCTTAGGGAGGTTTGAGGGTGGTAGAGTGGAAGGATGGGATGGTGGGTTGTTGGGGTCTTTCACCTTTGCCTGGCTGGTTTCAGGACTGAACAAGGTTGAGATCCCCTGCTGTGGAGACTCTGCCCCCAGTAGAGTCAGGAGGGTGGTTCAGCTTGCACCTGATTTTGTTGACCCTTGGTTACCTGGCACTGTGAAGTGCGATGCCCTTGTCTTCCAGAACAGGACCGTGCAGGATCGGTTTCTGGGAGTACCTCACTCTGCATCTTGCTCACCTTTCGGTCTCTTTCCAGGAGAGTGAGAGCAGTACGGTGCAGGGCGGAGCAGGTGAAGGGCCAGAACTACGGGAGGACCGGAGGTGACAGTCCTTCCCTTTTTTAGTGGGGGATGTTGGCTCTCATTCGTGAGTGAGGCACTTAACGAGCATCTGCCTGGTGCCAGGGTCCGTTTGGTGACGTCCATTCAACAATAGAACCAATGCGTCTGTCTGTACGGTGTGGCGGCTGAGAGCTTGACCTCAGACCCCGGCTCCACCAGCTGCCTGCTGACTGGGCGACGGTGCGCGAGTGACCTGACCTCTCTGTGCCTCGCTTTCCCTGTCTGTGAGGTGGAGGCGATAATGGCGTCTGCCTCACAGCGTTACGGAGGTTAAATGAGGAAATCCATGCAAAGTGCTTAACACAATCGCTGACAAATAGTAAGAGCTTAGTAACTGTTAACAGTTCTATACTATTTTTATTATTGTTACTACTCATTGGCTCAGATTTTTTCCTCGTGGTTGTTGTTCAAAGTCTCTTCTTAACCTCTTTCTCAGAGCAGGCATTTCAACGTAATAAGTGGAATAAGAGGAACAGCCTTTCAAAAGTGGGGTGCCAACTATCTGATGCCCCTAATCTGGTGTTAGGTAAGGATTGGCTGGGTCCCGGGGTGGGGCTTTTGCACGGGTGGTGCCGTGTTTGGTTACTGACTGCAGCATTCTGAGCCCGGCCCATGAGGCAGGGCATCCGCCAGGAGGGACTTCCGGAGAGGAAGCCCCACAGTGTGGTTGTTGGGGCGACTCCTGGGGCAGGGTGCTTGCGAAAAGAGCACAGGCTTGGGAAGAAGAAGGGGAGACTGCTGCTCGCTTAGCCGCCTGCCTACGACCGTGTGCGGGTCACCCCCGCTTTGGACTTGGACTTGTTTCCTCCTGTGTACCCACCACCACTTTTCAAGAACTTTTGTGTCGGCGTGTCGGCAGTGTCCTGCGTGCTTTACACGTACTAGCTCTTTTTTCAAAGAGTACTTGAAACAGCTACCTCACAGGGTGATTTGAAGATTATGTACCACAGTATGTGTGAATGTGCCAGCAAGGTGTTAAAAGCAAAAACAACTGGGTGGCAGTGCTAATGAGGTGCTTTTCCAGTAAAAAAAAAAAAAATCATGTTTAAACTTTGCGTATAAATATATACTTACACAGAAACAGATAAATAGCAGTAAAAATCAACAACAACAAAAGCTTTTTAAGCAACATACACCACGGGTTCTTCCCGCGTTGTGTACCTCTTTTTATCCTAACACTTGGCACCTGGCCGAGGCAGATGTTTGTAACAGGGTTTTGCCATCAGAACATGTACCTCTTGAAGGCATTTAATTTTGTGTCTGGCACATAGCAAACTCAGTTAATGTTTGTTGAATGCATATCTTAATGGGTGTCTTTATTGATTTGTATTTTTCAAAAGAGAGAGAGGCTTCTAGAAAGAGCATCTTATCAAGGTTGCAAGAGTCTCGTTTGGAGAATAAATGGAATCATTTGAATAGGAAGATGTGCTCACAAAATACAAATAGCCAGGCAAAAAATATCTCTCCTCTCTTCCCCCAGTGAATCAGTTACATGCATGCTTACCCTGAGATTAATCTTCCATTAGCATTGAACTTAATATTGGAAGTAATGAGATGGATTACATAAGCAACCCCCTCCACACACACACCCCTAAATTCTCCTTACTTTATTGTCACTCCAGATCTCTCTTGCATCTCTCTCCCAATTTGTGATGAGCATAAATTAAAATCCAAGAAATGTTTGTTTTCTAGGGGAAAATAGTATGCATAGAGGAGAGATTCAGATAAACCTAAATCTGATCTCAATTCAAATCTTGGTTCAGCCATTTGTATCTTATGAGGGGGACTCGGGCAAGTAATTTAATTTCTTTGAATCTTATTTTCTTCGTTTATTAAGCAAAAGAATGATACTGGGCTTGGGGTTTACATAAAGTACTAAGTATCAGTGATAGCTATTATTATGTTGTCCATCTAGAATCAACATGAAATTAATTTTAGTCATAACCACCTCTGTACTTTTAAATAAAATATAAATGTGATCCCTAATTAGAAAATAAGTTTATTAGCTTCATCACTGTGTTATTTTTGCTTTTAAACATCAATAGTGTGGGGCGCCTGGGTGGCACAGTCAGTTAAGCATCCGACTCTCGGTTTCAGCTCAGGTCATGATCTCAGGGTCATGAGGTCGAGCCCCACGTCAGGTTCTGTGCTCAAGATGGAGTCTGCTTAAGTTTCTCTCTCCCTCTGCCCCTCCCGCTTGTGCTGTCTCTCTTTCTCAAATAAATAAATCTTAAAAAAAAAAAAATCAATAGTGTGACCACTAGCTTTTAATCAAGGATTAAATTAGAATCTAACCTGGACATGATGCCCTTTCATATTTGTTATGTTAAAAAAAAAAACCACTGAAAGAATCAAATACTTTTAATGTTCTGGATGTATTCATATATATGGACATGAATATATATAAAATGTATATATGTGTGTGTATATTTGTATACACTTACGCATGTGTGTGTGTGTGTGTGATATATATACATATATCAGAGTTCGGATTGTTTCCATATCTACAAGAAACTGAGTCTCAGGGAGATTTCTTTTCCAAAGGCAGCATGGCACTTGCATTGCTAGATTCATGGCCTGGCATTGCTAATCTGATAGCCAGGTTTTCTTCAGCCAGTTCTCTTTGAATTTATACTTGGGAATCCCCTTTCTGTTTGGCCTTCTAGTTCTTGGCTTAGCTTTTTGACATCCTGCTTTTCTCCCTTATTACGATTCTTTGCCACACTTCCTTCACATAGTCCTTGGAGGTGGCCTGTTTCCCAGTGTGGGCCATTTTCTAGAACCTCGTGTATAACTGGAACTTTTCTTGTATCAATTTTCAGATTCTTTTCATCAGTTGGTGAAGTTATCCAGGTTTTTGTTTCAGCTATTCTGATATTATCCTCTCAAGTCAGAATTCAGTCTTAAGTTTGTGCTCAGAATGATACTTAATGCATTCATGATGTCATGGGGTTCTGGGGAGGCCAGTGGCCCCACCGTACAAACCAGCATGAGCAAGAGGTGCCCCTTCCTAGAGCACTGTTGGATGACTTACTATGGCCTTTTCTTCTTTGATAAGGAGAGAGACCAAGTTCATCAGCATGAGCTATAGAACCTGACACCATTTGACCCTGACTACCTTCCCAGCCTGCTGCCCTACCAGTTGCCCATTCTCTTCAGCAGTGCTAGCTCTCTGCCTCCGAGCCTTGGCTCGTGAGATTTTCTGGGCCGAGAATTCACTTTGGGTGCCCATCAGCCTTCAGTCCAGCTCCCTCAGGAAGCTCTTCCACCTGCACCTTCCCTGTGTCCTCCTTGCTGCTGTGATTATGTCACTTTTCACTAACTCACTGAGGTCAAGGAGGATTTTTTTTATCATCTCTCTAGGCCGGCACACAGTGGGTGCTCAACACGTTTAAATCCTTTTGCATTTACATACCCACTTCACCAAAAGTAGAAGCTTTACAGAAATTGCAGATTTGTCCAGATTTTCCAGGATAACCTGGATTTCAAAAATATCTTGTCCCATTGTGAGGTGATATGTCCCTTCCAGTTTTGGTTCAGAAAGCATAATTGCCATTTTTACAGATTGCATGAAAGTTGCTTTGGGAAGCATTTCAGTGAATTGATGCCAGTTTTTTAAACTGCCAGAATGATTAGTGCTTGGAGAGGTCCAGGGGAGTAGAAGATTTTGTCCATGCACTTTGTGAAGCATAAAATATTTTTTTAAAAGCCTTTAAAAATATAACTTACATGTATAGTGTGACAAAATAAAAATTTTTAAGTGTTAAAAACCTACTCTTACACTAATATATCATCAGCACGTATCAGAGATTTATTAATATTATTAATGAGAAAACCATCAAGATGACAAAGCTGGATCAAAGGAGAGTATAAGAAACTGGTATTTATGTAGTTTTAAAAAAGGATGCAGGGGGCGCCTGGGTGGCTCAGTTGTTAGGCGTCTGCCTTCGGCTGGGGTCGTGATCCTAGGGTCTTGGGATCGAGCCCCATGTCGGGCTCCCTGCTCCACGGGAGGCCTACTTCTCCCTCTCCTGCTCCCCCTGCTTGTGTTCCCTCTCTCTCTGTGTCTCTCTCTGTCAAATAAATAAAATCTTTAAAAAAATAAAAAAGGATGCAGGAGTAAGATTGCAAATTTAGATGCAAAACTGGCTAATGTCCTACAGGGCAATAAAAATAAAGCCTTCGAGTTTATCTTTTTTTAAATCATTTGCAGCTTATCAATTTTCTATAAGTGAACATCTAACTTTACAGAATGTGGGCCTAATCTGTGGTAAACAGAAAGTCAAACAAATATATGTTTCCACAGAGCATCAGATGACCTTTATGTAGTCATGGTAGACATGACTACCTCTAGTACAACTCTAAAAGGACACTTTTTTTTTTTTACCTTATTTTCAAGTTCCAGATAATTTCCTTTTTTTTTTTTTTTTTTTTTTTAAGAGAGTGTGTGCAAGCGGGGGTTGCGCGGGTGGCAGAGGGAGAGAGAATCAGAAACAGGCTCCACGCCTAGTGCAGAGCCGGGGCTCAATCTCGCCACCCTGAGACCTGAGCTGAAATCAAGAGGCAGATGCTTAACCGACTGAGCCATCTCTTAACAAATAAATCACAGTTGGGTTCAAGAGCTCAAAGACAGCTGGATCTGAGATAGAGAAGAGTCCGGGTTGAGAATAATTTTAAGTGTTTTTTGGGTTTTTTTGAAGATTTTATTTATTTGACAGAGAGAGACACAGCGAGAGAGGGAACACAAGCAGGGGGAGTGGGAGAGGGAGAAGCAGGCTTCCCGCGGAGCAGGGAGCCCGATGCAGGGCTCCATCCCAGGACCCCGGGAACGTGACCTGAGCCGAAGGCAGACGCTTAAAGACTGAGTCACCCAGGCGCCCCAATTTTAAGTGGTTTTGAAATGGAATTGTGAAATTGGGACAGGAAGAGGGTGGTAAAGAGCAGAAGGGGTGAGGTGTGGCCGTCACCGAGAGGGCTCCCCTCCCTGTCCACACCAGAGGCATGTGCAGAGAAAGGGGCCGGTATTTTCCCCAGGTGGATGATGAGCTGAGGTGAGTGGGAAGTGAAATCCCTTGGAGTAGGAGGGAGCAATCAGTAGGAAGCTTTGAAGCTTGTGTTTAAAAGATTTGATTTGATTTAAAAGACTGTTGGACCAACAAGATACTCAAAGAAGACAATTGTCAGTAGGTAGGAGGTTGCAGTTGCAATCAAGGCAGAGTATGGAAGTTAAGCAAGGAGAACTCTGGTACCATGAGAGGAGACCTGCCAGAAGTTCATAGTAAACTTCTGGCAGAGGAAAGAAACAGAAAGAGCAATTGAAGGTGGTGCTGAAGATCATTCTCCTGGTTGAAAGAGAGCTGCTCTGGGGCCCTGTGTTGGACAGAGAAGTCAGTACTGGCCCTCCCAGCTGGGGCTCTCTGAGGCTGCCCCCAGCCGGGCAGCTAGGGAGGGAGGGCCAAACAGAGCAGACCAGAAGACCATTTGAGAATGACTTTTGCTTCCCTTTGTGCTTGCTTTTTCTCTTAATTTTCAACTGTTTTATTTCATTATGTAATATTTGATATATGCAGTGATACATTTGTGTGTGTTATGTAACACAAGCGTTTGAGAACCCCCACCTCCCTGCCCAGTTTTCCTTTGTGGTTTCTTTGCCAGTAAAAAGAGTTTACTCATCCATCGCCTAAAATATAGGGTGCCTGAGTCACTAGTTTGCCATCCTGTGTCATTCAGCCCTCCTCCAGACTCCCTGTCCCCCAAGAAGGTGACCCAGAATTCCCTTGAAGTACGTGATGCTGTCCCTGTGCTATGAGCTTCTTAGCAAATGTGCCCCCTGGTGTTTGGAGTGATTTTAGGCACCAATTTGCCTGTTATAATTGTCCCTGTGTTCCTTACATTCTTTGCATTTCAGCTTCTGAACTGCTCTTCTGGGTGACCTGAATGGAGGTAATAATGTTTCAGGCCCTGAGAAAGCAGTGGTGATTACAGATAGCAAAATGGTGGAGAAAGGAAAAGTTACCTCACTATTGACCCTCAGGTTTGATACTAGTCTACGTTTGATTTTCTTTTCTTAATTTTTAGAAAAAAACATCCTAGGAGGGAAGATAGGATCATCAGCTTGAATGAAGGATACTTGTTTCTTAAGAGGCATACTTGGGAATTAACTCTTTTGTGTTTACCTCCCTCTCGCTCACTGGTTGTGGTCCATCTGATTCCCAGCGGCCTACAAACATCACATACCACACTTATTCTGTGTTCTTATGTTGTTTGGGCAGATCTAATGTGCAAGATTAAATGAACAACACTAAATGAAGAAAGTTTAGGTGAATATCCTTATAATCTTGGGGATGAGGGACATTTTCAGTGTTAACACAAAAACCATGTAATTTCATTACACAGTATTAGCACTTGTATATAGTCCTTTCTGCTGTAATGCAACATGCCCGTCCCTAAAAATCACTGCACTGAGCAAAATCATGTAATGCAAACCGTAGGGCTTATGGGGCAAATGGGATTTGGGTCGCAACACTCGAAATCTTCAGAGGTGACAAAAAGAAAATAAAAAGACTAAAAGTTAAGAACCTAATAAAACAGCTCAGTTTTACAGATATTCAATGGGTAAGAAATACAGAAATACCACAACAAATAGGACCCCTTACCTTAAAAGAGACCTGAGGTTTGCTTGTGGAAGTGGGCAGTAGAAGTTATAGCTTCTGAGTTTCTGTGAGGTGATGGATGGAGGGCAGTCTGTAGTCCGATAGAAAGTTCTGATCCAGATGTGGATGGTTAGGGTTCATAACACATGCACTGACCTGACGAAGCTGCTGGATGTTTGAGGTATGCAACTGTGTGCTCATTTTGTGTGGCTCATTTCACTTGGGTATGTTTTTGCATTTCCTAGTGTTTCTCTCATGCATAAGTAAACACAAAATTCATGATATGCCCAGAGTGTTCCCTAATAAAGCCAAATGCATTGGAACAGATTCAAATTTTCAAAACAAGAGTCCAAACAAAACTGTCAAAAAGAGCTGTCACGAATAACGTGCACTAAGCTACTACTGAGTGCCAGGCACTGTGCTTTAGATTCCATGCAGACTGTCTCTCAGCATCCCCATGAGGTAGGTGTAATTTCATCCCCATTTTATAGATGAGAAGTAAAACTTACCCCAAGGTATAAGGCTAGGACGTGATAACTTAATCACTATGCCATTCTTTTTTCTCAACAAATTTGTTTTTTTAAAGATTTTATTTATTTATTTGAGAGAGAGCACACAGGAGCAGGGGGGAAGGGGGGCAGGGAAAGAGAGAGGAACAGGAGAGGGAGGAGCAGATTCCCCACTGAGCAGGGAGCCTGATGGGGGGCGGGGGCATGGCTCCATCCCAGGACCCTGAGATCATGACTTGAGCCTGAAGGCAGACACTTAACTGACTGAGCCACCCAGGTGCCCCTCTTTTTTCTCAACAAAGTAAAAGAAAAATAAAGTGGATTGTATATCAACCGTACTTCAATTAAAAAAAAAAAGTGCGGCAGATATTTGCACATATATAAGGAGGAAATACCCGTAGTATATGAAATTTTTTCAAATCAGTAAAAAGAGACAAATAGCCCAATAGAAAAATGCACTAAGGTCAAGAGCAATTTACAGAGGAAGAAATACAAATGGCCAATAAAATTGGCAGGGAGACATCCGACCTCATTTAGCGCTCACTCATGCAAGCCCACACAGTTTGATGTCATTCTTTCCCCACTGTCTGAATGACAGAAACAGATGTGGGGAAATGCTGGTAGAAGCATAGATTGTTATAGCCTCCCCAAAGCACACATACCTGTCCTTTGACCCAGCCATCAGTTTCTAGAAGTTTATCCCAAATCAGATCAGTGGGAAAAGATTTTTGTTAAGAGTTGTTCACGCTGGGGCACCTGGGTGGCGCAATCGGTTAAGCGTCCGACTCTTGCTTTCGGCTCAGGTCATGATCTCAGGGTTGTGCGATCGAGCCTCCACGTCGGGCTCTGCGCTGAGCTGAGAGCCCACTTGAGATTCTCCTTCCCTCCCCCTTTGCCCCTCCCACTAGTGCTCTCTCTCCTAAACAAAGAAATCTAAAAAAAAAAAGAAAAGAGTTGTTCATGCTAAAAAATTGAACACAGCCGCTTGTCATCACTAAGTGGTTAAATTCTAGGGTGTCAATAACAATATGCTATGATACAGTACTGTGGGACTCTCAAAGGTTGCTGTCGTATCCACAATGGTTGACACTGACTACTTCTCACGTGTTGCTAAATAAAGGGAGCAGGGTACAAAATAGCATCTTCAGTACGATCCCACTTTAGTGACTGTTGTCACAGACACACACGTGTGCTCGTGTGTGCAAGCAAGCCTTGCTCTCAGGAAGGACACATCAAAACATTGACAGTAGCTGTCTCAGGAGGGTGGAATTGCTGGATTTCTTTTTCTCATTTAACTTTTTTCTAAATTTTTTCTATAGTGAGTGTGACTTTTTTGATTTTGAAAAAGTTATTTTAAAACATTATCTTACACAAAGTGATAATAAATACAAAATATAAGAAGAATAGATGACCTCTGTAAAATCGTTCTCTTAGCACCTACCTGGGCTAGGTAGCAAAGGCCTGCTGAAGAATTGTTGGCTCACTGACTGTGCGGTTTGGAGACAGTGTGTTACCTCAGCTGGGGCTTTCGACTCTGTATTCCTGACCAAAATTAATCTGCCCAGATTTTGGGTCACCTTACTCTCAGGCAGATGCTGCTGGCTGGGCCAGGCAAAGTGCTTGATGTTACCTCCAGGTTGCAAGCTCCATGAAGTGCTCGTGAACTTGGGGTCTGGAGGAGGCTCTGGACTGGTTGCAATACACAGGTGACAGTCACAGCCTCTGATTTTGATTATGAGCTTTTAAAGAGACCAAAACCCAGGTGTAGTTTCTTGGGGCCCAGCTTACTTTATTAAGCAAACTTATCCCTTCCTTTAAGAAGCAGCTAAAAAATGGGACTGTGGCTTGTTTGGGGAAGGTAACCGCCAGGAGCACCCCTGCCAGGTAAGCTAGGGTTTGTAGGCCTAGGGGTGGCCCGCCTAGCTCCCAGGAGGCCTAAGTCTGGCCTTCCGCTCTAGGGACCACACAGCTCATCGTGCAGGATCTGGAACTTCATTTTCAAAGCCCCATAAAACCTGTGCCTTCTTCCAGGCCTCTCTTTTCTGGGTTTCATGGCTCTCGGCGGAAATGAGAGCTGGTGTAATTGCGACACTCCAGTGATTGGAACAGGGAACATGAGACATTAGGATGCTCCCACAGGGTGCAGCATGGAGAAAAACTGCACCCGGGGTGGGCTTTCGGTGCCTTGGTTCTCCAGGCCTCGTTCCGGCTGGTGGGGCCTTCCCTTCTCTGTCACTGCAGACCAGATGGGGTCCCGGGAAGACCCCGCGTGCCTTGCTGGAGCTGGGGCTCAAAGAGCCTCTTCCCATTACTTCTTCCTTCAAATGCTTGGTCTTAAGAGGCCCCTCTGCGCCACTCAGCCCAGTGCCTGTCCACCTGGCTGCAGATAACACCACTGGAGCTTGTCATGTGTGGGTTGAAAGGATTTATTTTTTTTTAATTTAAGCCTTTGCATCCCATCTGCTTACACACTCTTAACCTGCTTTGTGAACAAGCTTTGTGACCTCTGCAGGTTACTTCGCTGTGCCAACCCATGTCTTTCTCCACAGAAGGTTTTGGAGAACACTCAAACCAGATGAGATAAGTGGAGCCAAGTGCCCAGGTGCTAGGTGCTCTGGAATTACCACTAACAGGGACCTTTATAAGGGTCTGCCTCTCACCAAACACTCTGCACAAATTGTTTTATCCATCCTCACAACAAAGAAGCCAAGTATTTTTTTTTTTAAAGATTTTATTTATTTATTTGAGAGAGAGAGCACATGAGAGGGGGGAGGGTCAGAGGGAGAAGCAGACTCCCCGCTGAGCCGGGAGCCCGATGTGGGACTCGATCCCGGGACTCCAGGATCATGACCTGAGCCAAAGGCAGTCGCTTAACCAACTGAGCCACCCAGGCACCCCAGAAGCCAAGTATTCTTAAGGCAGCCTTTTGTGGTGTGGAAACCAGGCTGTAGAGAGGTTGCTTGCCCACGTTCACACAGCTGGGTAGGCAGTGTCTTGAGACCCAGCTAGTACCGAAGCCTGTGCCCATCTACCAGGCCTCTGGCCTCTGTTCCCTTATGCGCTCCTTAGCGTTCCATGGATTAAAACAGTCAATCAGGGAGTGATGTTCTTTTGGCTCACAAAGCGGGCCTCTGTGTTGATTCCCCAGAGTAAGAATTTTATGGGAATTCTGGAAAGCTCAACAGATTGTTAGCTTTCTCTTAAAGCTTTTCCTTAAAACTTTTTATAAATCTTGTGTTGTACTTGGACTGTGTCAGCAATAAAGTGTGTTTTGTTTGAATTTTTTGCTGAGTTTAAGGACATTTCTTAATCATGTACAAGGAATTGGAATTGGTTGGTACCAGTTACAATATCTGTGGCATTGTGCCCATTTCTCCTTCCCACACACAGCCGGCTGAGTGTCGAGGGGACACAGCAGAGTGTTGAGGTGTTGGTAAATAATACCACTACAGTTAGTGTAATCTTTGATCTTACGAGATGCTGTTTTGCCAGTAGGTTGAACTGATGGAACACTGGAAGTACTGAACTGCTAAGCTTCAGTCGCCCTGTATGGTTACCCTAGAAACCCCCAGTAGCTTTCTGCTTGCCTAACATAAGACTCTTCATAGCCCAGACCCATTACTGGCATGTGTGTATGTGCATGCACGCGCGTGTGCACCCGCGTGCGCGCGCGCGCGCACACACACGTCTGTTAGAGACCTGGGGGGGGGAGGTACTTGTGGGTAGAGGTTTGGGGAATGAAAAGAGGTGGTGTTTTTTGTTTTTGGTTTGTTTTTGGTTTGGGGTATTTTGGTGGCTAAATCAGAGCATCATGTGGCTTTGAATTTGGAGAGAAGGGTGTACTGTTCAGGAACAAGCAGTAGCTTCTTGGGAATGTATTGAAGAGGAAAGGGGAGGGAATGGAACATGAACTGTAGGTCTGAAAATAGCTGCGACAAAGCTGAGGCCCCAGACTTCTAAATGGGGACCAGCCCTGTGGGGAGGCAGGAGTTATAAGAGATGAGTTTTAGTTGTGGAATAAGTTGGGTTTTGGTAAATTTCAGGGAGGATGAACTTGGGGAAGAAGCCCTGGAGGCAGGCTTGAGGCCCTTTGGGCTGGGAACTTAGGGGTCCCAGGTACTTGGAACATAATCTCGAAGGGGGCCGTGGTCTCCAGGTGGACACATCCCCCTGGTCCCACAGACTCCTTGCCCAAAGGGGCCCAGCCCTCTAGAGCGCGGAGTCCAGGGCTGGGGTTGCTCTGGCCCAGCCTTCTGGCAGTGAGTGTACTGTGGTGCAGAGGAAGAACGTGAAGCTGGGTGTTCTAATCCTCACTGTGCCCTGATGAGCTGCAGGACCTTGGCCAAGTTATTTCCCTGTTCTGGACTTCGATTATGATCTTTCCATCCACTCCATCCCTAAAGTTCCATGACTCGGAGGCCATCAACTTCATCATCCCTGATTGTTCCTGAGGGTACCAGCAGTGCCCAGGGCTATGTCCTTTTTGGAGAGAAGGCCCAGGGCCTGCCTGTGGTGAGGAGGGAAGGCTGCCTGGAGTGAGAGTGGATTAGGGTCTGGCACAACTTCGAAGCCAGACCCTCCTGACTCCCGCACTCCTGCTCTGTCCTGGGGAGCGGTGCTGAAACTGGAGGTGGCCTCATACCTGAGGCTACTGAGCTCAGAAGCCTTAGGACGGCGACTTCCCACT